AAAAAAAAAAAAAAAAAAACCTTCAATGCCTTCCCATAAGATCCACAATAAAATAGATGCTCTGGCCCCTGCCTGCCTCTCTGACATCTCTTACTACTTTCTGCTTGCTCAGTAAGCTCCAAATTTCTTTACTCAACACATAATGAGCACATACAATGTACCAGTTTTTGTTACCAATAAACAAATCAAAATTTCCTCTTCTTGCTGAGGACACACAAAAAACAATAATCCTAATATACAAGTAAATGTCAAAATACCAAAATACGTTTGTTAGGAGATAGGGTCTTTCTCTGTCACTCAGGCTGGAGCACAGTGGTGTAATTTCAGCTTACTACAGCCTCGAATTCCCAAGTTCAAGGGATTCTCCCACGTCCTTAGCCTCCTGAGTAGCTGGGACCACATGCCCAACTTAGAAAAGATATTTTCAAAGGTATATGTAAATTGGATGGGGAAGCAGATCATGTAGCGCCATTTAAACGACTTCAGCTTAAATGTCACTCTTCATAGAAGCCTTATTCAATCACCCAATTTACTGTGGCCTCCTTCTCCTCTCAATCTCATTACCTTGTTTTCTTCATAGCACTTACTGATACCTGACACTTTTTTTTTTTTTTTTTTTAAGAACGAGCCTCACTCTGTCATCCAGGCTGGAGTGCAGTGGCACAATCTTGGCTCACTGCAACTGCCACGTCCCAGGTTCAAGTAATTCTCCTGCCTCAGCCTCCCAAGTAGCTGGGATTACAGGTGCCCACCACCACGCCCAGCTAATTTTTATATTTTTAGTAGAGACGAGGTTTTGCCATTTAGGCTGGGCTGGTCTCGAACTCCTGACCTCAGGTAATTCACCCGCCTCGGCCTCCCAAAGTGCTGGGATTACAGGCATGAGCCACTGTGCCTAGCCAGAGACTTTTTTCAATGCAGCATTTTTTATTAATTTATTATGAGATAGGGTCTTGCTCTGTCACCCAGGCTGGTATGCAGTGGCACCATCTCAGCTCACTGCAACCTCCATGTACAGGGCTCAGGTAATCCTCCCCCCTCAGCCTCCAGAGTAGCTGGGACTACAGGCATGTGCCACCTTGCCTAGCTAATTTTTGTATTTTTTGTAGAGACGACGTTTTGCCATGTTGGCCAGGCTGGTCTGGAACTCCTGGACTCAAGTGATCAGCCTGCCTTGGCCTCCCAAAGTGCTGGGATTACAGGCCTGAGCCACCCTGCCTGGCGAATACCTGAAACATTTTTTTTTTTTTTTTTTTGAGATAGACTCTCGCTTTGTTGCCCAGGCTGAAGTGCAGTGGCACTATCTCGGCTCACTGGAACCTCCACCTCCTGGGTTCAATACATTCTCCTGCCTCAGCCTCCCCAGTAGCTGGGACTACAGGTGCCCGCCACCACGCCCGGCTCATTTTTGTTTTTGTACTTTTAGTAGAGATGGGCTTTCACCATGTTGGTCAGGCTGGTCTCTTAACTCCTGACTTCCAGTGATCCACCTGCCTTGGCCTCCCAAAGTGCTGGGATTACAGGCGCAAGACACCTCGACTGGCCCTGAAACTTCCTGATGTATTTATTTGTTGACTTGTATCTTATTCCCTAACTAGGGGTTTGACTGTTATTATGTCTCTTCTGTTTAAAACAGAACCTGGTAAATATCAATACTTTTGTTGAATGATGGATAAATATGTCCTCAATACCTTAATTTACAATGGGTTTCTAGTATTCCTGTCAGGGCCTGTAGGCGCACAATAAATTAACAACAGAAATTTTAACATAAAGTCATTACAACTTGGGCTAAAAAAAACTTCGTAGGGTTCTTGTAGCCCTTTAAGGTCTGTCTCACACAATTTTTCTTTCCAAGTCTGGTTAAAGCTGTGGTGGTGTTTTCCCGGATCTGTTGTGCCTGTTTATGACTAACAAATAAACAAATGGCAATTCTTTTTCTTTTATTATTATTTTTTTGGGAACGGAGTCTCACTCTGTCACCCAAGCTGGAGTACAGTGGCTCGATCTCAGCTCACTGTCACCTCCGCCTCCCGGGTTCAAGAGAGTCTCCTGCCTCAGCCTCCCGAGTAGCTGGGACTACAGGCACGTGTCACCACGCCCAGCTAATTTTTGTATTTTTAGTAGAGATGCGGTTTCGCCATGTTGGCCAGGCTGGTCTCGAACTTCCGACCTCAGGTGATCGACCCGCCTCGGCCTTCCAAAATGCTGGGATTACAGGTGTGAGCCACCGCGCCTGGCCAATTCTTTCTCTTTAGCAATAGTGTCAGCACACTCCATTACTCTCCAGTTATCTTTTAAGAGAAAATAAAAGGCTTCAAATCACCTGTACAAGATCTAGGAGTGCTCTGGCGGAGTCACACCTCTGCAAGGTTAGAGATGTCAAAGGGAGTCCTGGTCTAGCGAGAAATGGAAGAGTGATACAAAGTACAGGTGCTTGGGTCGGGCGCGGTGGCGCACTCCTGTGATCCTAGCACTTTGGGAGGTCGAAGCGGGAGGATCGCTTGAGCCGAGGAGTTCGAGACCAGCCTGGGCAACATAGTGAGACCTTGTCTCTATTTAAAACAAAAAAAGTCGGCTCTAGCCTGTAATTCCAGCACTTTGGGAGGCCGAGGCAGGCGGATCACCTGAGGTGAGGAGTTCGAGACCGGCCTGGCCAACATGGTAAAAACCCGTTTCTACTAAAAATACAAAAAATGAGCCGGGCGTGGTGGCGGACACCTGTAATCCCAGCTACTAGGGAGGCTGAGGCAGGAGAATCGCTTGGACCCGGGAGGTGGAGGTTGCAGTGGGCCGAAACCGCGCGTGCCCGTGCACTCCAGCCTGGGCAACAAGAGCGAAACTCCGTCTCAAAAAAAAAAACCAAAAAGTCAGAATGCCTCACAAAAATTAAAGAAATACAGCGACTGCAGATGGGTCGGTTTCACTATAGCACAAGTAGCGGAAAGAGGACACAGACTGGGGAGAAATCACCCCACACAGATGACAACTGAGGAATGAGGAGTGGGGACTAACACACGCCACGGTGAAACCGCGCACCACGACCAAACGCGGTCCTAGGACTGCGACTAAGCGGGCGCAGAGGCCACCCTCCAGGCTTGGCGGGGGGGGTGAGGACAGCACTGGGGGCCTGCTCAGTCTGGCCTTAGGGAGGACCTTCGGAGGTCTCCTCTCTCCCCATCGATCCCTGCGCAGTTCCCGAACAGAAATCGGAGACCAGACGGTGCCTGGGCCCCAGCCCTCCCACGGGGACTGCACCTTGGGCCTGGCTCGGAGGCGGGTCAGAGTCTGCGAAAGACCAGCGAGGGCTCTTAGGTTTCGGGGCAGGCGGCGGGCGCCCACCCCGGCTAGTACTGGGAGTCGCGGGGCGACCCGGCGAGCCCGGTAGGCAGGACAGGACTGCGGCGCAGGTCCGGCTCAGGCGGAGGAAGCAGCCGCCGCCCCAGCTGACGGAGTGCGGCCGGGGGCTTCCCAGAGGAGGCGGCGACATCGAGCCCTTTCGAACGTTGCTACCAGGCTAGCTCACGTACCCTCGGCCCCGCCCGGCCCCGCCCCACCCACTCCGGCCACCGCCCCCTCCCCGGCCGACACTTCGCGGGTGGGGCGACCTGAGACAGTCCCTTTAAGAGGCGTGGTCACGTGCTCCGCCCCCACCTCCCCCTCGCGCGCCAGTAAGGGGTGGGGTGCGGGAGGAGGTGCCGGGGAGGCTGGGGGAACGAGGTGTGCGCTGCTGCGCAGGCGCGGTGGTCGGACGACAGACCGTGTGTTTCCAAAATGGCGGCAGCGATGGATGTGGATACCCCGAGCGGCACCAACAGCGGCGCGGGCAAGAAGCGCTTTGAAGTGAAAAAGGTTGGGTCTCGCCAGCGCCTTCCTCAGGGAAGCTAGAGAGGCGCGGATCTGGCTGGCAGGCCCGAGGATGGTCGAGGCGCGGAGTAAAGGGTTTCATTTCAGGGCGTTCCTGGGACCGGGTACCACGAAAGGAAGTTGGGGGGCGGGTCTTAGAGTTGATCGGCGTGACGGCGGCCCACTGTCAGGGCAAGTGTTGGTTTCGCTGTGAGGCTGAGGGGCCAATCACAGAGCTGCTTGTTGAGATACGCGGGGTTGCGACTTGGCGGCGGGAGCCAAGCGCCTGAGCTGTCACTGGAGTGGTTGAGAGGTGGGGGAAGGACAGGGTGGGGTGGGGTGGGGTGGGTGGAATGGGGAGTCAGAGCTACTGCGGCGGTGGAGGATGGGGCAGTGCGGCGAAAGCCTGGAACCTGAGGTCCTACCGCATTGGAGGCCTCTGAGGAGCCCCGCTGGTGATCTTGCTCCGCCCCTTTTTGAAGCTTGGGGTCCTCTCACTTGAAGGGATCAGACTTGGTCCCCGCTGAACCGAGGCCTCCATTAACCCCATCTCTGGGCCTCACACCGCCGAGTTAGAGTCTGGAGTGTAATGCTTGGCTGTTGTGAGACGTCTGTTGGCTTTTCCCACAACCACCCCACTCTTGGATTCTCTGTCACGTCCAGAATCTCCCCCTTCCGAAATAATAATAAAAAGCGTGGTGGAACTGGTTAAGAAATTCCGAGCCCAAATCCTGTGGCATTTCGGGAGGGTTGAGTACTAGTTGCGAATGACTTGGTAAGAGGGGAAAGCAAAAATGGAACGTGTCTTTTTGCATGAAATGCCTTTTAGTGGTTTGCCACAGTTTGGGAGAAAAGTGTCGATTCCCACCTAACATGAAAACTGTTCAAAATGGAGATTCTGAAATAGGGAAGATATTCCTGGAACATCTGGCTAAACACTGACAATATCCCCCCTCCTAGTGCTTTTTGGTGTCTCATTGTGGCCACTGCTGCTGTTACAGCCAGCCATATTGAAGAATAATAGAAGTAGGGGCTTTTCCTCCAAGTTGAAGCTGTGATGTGAAAAGTGGTGAAGAAGTTACTAGGCACTGAGACTGGGGTTTGAAAGCGATGAAGGTTTGGGAGTATTTGTAATTGAGGAAACCAGAGTTGAATGAATGAAATGCCACTTTTAGTTAAACTCTTACTGGAATTATTATCTTAATAGAAGAGTCTAAACATATAAAAGTTGAGAACATCAGTTTATTTTATGGTAGGAATCGAACAAAATTCTAGTGAATTGTAGAATTTGTTATGAAGTAATATAAGATTTAAGTGATGACCTTGTTCTGTGTACTGACATGGGTAGTTAATTATCCAGCTTATCCCACGATTACCCGTTTTATGATCCAGTCATCATCTTAGTTCATTCTGTTCCCTAGCTTTCACTTCATTGCTCATGCTTCCAAAGCTGCCTGGAGGAGCAGATACTTATTCAGATTTTGAGCTCTTCTGCAACTGCCACCAAAACCTGCACAGAAATTCAAGTTTGTGCTTTTTTTTTTTTTTTTTTTTTGAGATAGAGTCTCACTCCATCGCCCAGGCTGGAGTGCAGTGGCACGATCTTGGCTCACGATCTTGGCTCACTGCAACCTCTGTCCCCCAGATTCAAGCAATTCTCCTGCCTTAGCTTCCCAAATAGCTGGCATTATAGACACCCGCCACCAGGCCTGGCTAATTTTTGTATTTTTAGTAAAGACGAGGTTTCACCATATTGGCCAGGCTGGTCTCGAACTCCTGACTTCAGGTGATCCACCCGCCTCAGCCTTCCAAAATGCTAGGATTATGGGCGTGAGCCACTGCGTCCGGCCAGACTAAATTGTTTTAAACTATAGGAAACAAATTAAAAGATGACATTAATTTATGTGTTCATATACTCAGTCTTTTGGAGAATAGGAGAACATATGTGTTGTCTACTGTTGTCTTTGGTATAATAAGATTAACATAATATCCAAAAACTTTTGTTTGGTGGTTCCCTGTGGCCAGAGATGATAACTACAACTGCAGCCTGAAGTCCTAAAGACTGTATGTGTGTTATAAGGAGAATTCATTGTTCCCTCTTTTTGTCTTTGCAGTGGAATGCAGTAGCCCTCTGGGCCTGGGATATTGTGGTTGATAACTGTGCCATCTGCAGGAACCACATTATGGATCTTTGTAAGTAATTGGAGGAGGATGGGAGGAAGTTGAGAAGGTTGCAGAGCTTGTGGCTATCTTGATGTGACCGATTTTCTCCTTCACAAGCAGATATCAAGCCTACTCTGAGCACTCGGTCTTCTGTGTGTAGTCTCTTGGTGTGTTTGAAATAGAGTAGTTTTTTTATGATGTCCTGGAGGCATACCCAGCTTTCAGAATAAATCTACTCAATATAAAGATGGCAGGGACACATTTAGAATTAATTGTGGACAATAGGCACTGTTGATTCTTCCTGCATATCTCCCATCTTGTGCCTAGACTAAAAGGTAGAAATAGTGAAAGGAGGAAAATAAACTTTGAGCTAAAATATTCTATCTGAGGCCAGGCGCGGTGGCTCATGCTTGTAATCCCAGCTCTTTGGGAGGCCAAGGTGGGCAACATGGTGAAACCCCGACTCTATTAAAAATGCAAAAATACTCTATTAAAAATGCAGAAATTAGCCGGGTGTGGTGGTGCATGCCTGTAAACCCAGCACTTTGGGAAGCTGAGGCGGGCGGATTATTTGAGGCCAGGAGTTCAAGACCAGCCTGACCAACGTGGTGAAACCCCGTCTCTACCAAAAATACAAAAATTACCTGGGCGTGGTGGTGCATGTCTGTAATCCCAGCTACTTGGGAGGCTGAGGCAGGACAGCTGTTTGAACCTGGTAGGTGGAGGTGGCAGTGAGCTGAGATCACACCACTGCACTACAACCTGGGCGACAGAGCAAGACTCACAGTCTTTTTTTGAGACTCAGAGTCTCAAAAAAAAAAAAAAAAGTCTATCTGAGCTGATTTTTGCTCGTCATTGTTTACAAAGGAAAGAAGCCTAAGGAGTAAGTATTTTGTATGTTAGGCCCAAACATAATAAAAAGGAAATCATTGCCAACATCTAAATAGGTAATTGATTGCACTAAAGAAATTTCATTTAAATCTCCACATATTTTATTACATGTAGTGGTCAACACATAGTGATCCGATTATAGTCTTTGATGGACTGATTTCCTGTCCTTATAATAGAAGGAACAAGAATGTTGATGACACCAGAAACAGTAGAGATTACTTTTTCATCCGGGAACTAAAATGATTTGTTACTGAGGCCAGAAATGGAGGAAAGAAACTTCAAGTTTCTAGAATTGGAATTATAGGAACTTACTTTTCAGATCACTCACCTGCCTTTACAACTTCATCTTGAGTCACTCCTGCTCACTCTGTTAGTTTACCTGGACACTTTTTTTTTTTTTTTTTTTTGAGACGGAGTCTTGCTCTGTCTCCCAGGCTGGAGTACAGTGGCTGGATCTCAGCTCACTGCAAGCTCTGCCTCCCGGGTTTACGCCATTCTCCTGCCTCAGACTCCCGAGTAGCTGGGACTACAGGCGCCCGCCACCTCGCCCGGCTAGTTTTTTGTATTTTTTAGTAGAGACGGGGTTTCACCGTGTTAGCCACGGTGGTCTCGATCTCCTGACCTCGTGATCCGCCCGTCTCGGCCTCCCAAAGTGCTGGGATTACAGGCTTGAGCCACCGCGCCCGGCCTTTTTTTTTTTTTTTTTAAACTAACTACGGTGGCCAAAGCAGCCATGGCCCCTGACCGGTTTTCCATTTTGTTTTTTCTTATTTTGAGATGGAGTCGCCCAGGCTGGAGTGCAGTGGCGTGATCTCAGCTCACTGCAACCTCTGCCTCCTGGGTTCAAGAAATTCTCCTGCCTCAGCCTCCTCAATAGCTGGGATTACAGGCGCCTGCCACCATGCCCAGTTAATTTTTGTATTTTTAGTAGAGACAGGGCTTCACCATGTTGGCCAGGCTGGTCTCAAACTCCTGACCTCAGGTGATCTGCCCACGTCGGCCTCCCAAAGTGCTGGGATTACAAGCATAAGCTGCCGCTCCTGGCCTGCTTTTTCATTCTTAAGTGTCCATGCTCTTTTTCAGAGCCCTTACATAGCCTATTCTTTCTCGCCTAGAATATTCTTCACCTGTTCTCTTCCTTGGTTTTGTCTAACCCAGCACTGTCCAATCTGAATGTAAACCACAAATACAAACACATATATAATTTTAAGGTTTTTTTTCCTTTTCTTTTGTTTTTTTCAGAGACAGGATCTCGCTTTGTTGCCCAGGCTGGTCTCGAACTGGCTTCAAGTGATCCTCCCACTTTGGCCTTCCAAAATGTTGCAATTATAGGCGTGAGCCACTGTGGCTGGCCTGAAATTTTCTAGTACCCACATTCATAAAGTAAAAAGAAAATAAAAAGGTGAAATTAATCTATTTTATTTAACCTTTTATAGCCAAAATATTTTTATTTCAACATGTAATTAATGTAAAAAAAGGAGATATTTTACATTCTGTCTTTGCACCATCTTTGAAATTCAGTGTGTATTTTACACTTACAACACATCTGGATTCAGACTAGCCACACTTCAAGTGCTCAATAGTCACATGTGGTTAATAACTACTTTATTGTGCAATGTAACACTAACCCAGAGTTGAGCTTTAGATCTTATCTTAAACTTGCTCAGATGTTTTCAACTTGGAAAGCACGAATCAAATATTTTCTGTTGGAAAGCAGTCACGGCATATACTGGTCATGTATTGCCCTTGGCTTCTTTGAGCTTTGACACTGTTTATCTCTTCACACTACAGCCAAGGGAGATCAGCAGCTACCATGATGTTTAATATAGATGACATGAGCCCATCACAGAAAAACATATGCATGGTTTCAAATGTGTTTGGGTGGGGTCTTTGATTACATGCTTGCCAGTTTCTGGGCCTTGCATTTTCACAAGGAGTTATACCCAGAGAAAATTTTACTTTACTGGGGCTCTATTTTGAAAATAGTTAATGATTTTTAATGATGTTATATACAACCCTGATTTTTTTTTCTCTATATTTAAGTCAGTGTATATGTGTCTCTGGATATGAGAGAATGTACTTCTTAGAAGGACCACAGAAGACAAAGGCAATCCATATTCTGTCTTCTCTTAGAGTGAAATGCTTGAGACATCACATAGGCTTTCAGTGGAATACCTGTTTTGTTTCATAACATATTTCGAATGTCAGATGAAGTAGGATATTGAAATCTTATAACAAAAACCTTATGAAAGTATTTTCTAAGTCGTATCTTTTATTTATCCAATGAATATATCCTGAGCATCCTGGTAGGCACCAGGATAAAACAATGACAGAGATCAGGTCTTTACCTTTTTTTTTTTTTTTTGAGACAGTCTCTGTTTGTCTCTCAGGCTGGAGTGCAGTGATGCAATCTTGGCTCGCTGCGACCTCTGCCTCCCATGTTCAAGTGATTCTCCTGCCTCGGCCTCCCAAGTAGCTGGGATTACAGGTGTGGGCCACCTCACCCGGCTAATTTTTTGTATTTTTACTAGAGATAGGGTTTCGCCATGTTGGCCAGGCTGATCTCGAACTCCTTACCTCAAGTGATCTGTCCACCTTGGCCTCTCAAAGTGCGGGGATTACAGACGTGACCCACTCAAACTCCTGGCCTCAAGGAAACCCACCCTCTTTGGCCTCCCAAAGTGCCAGGATTATAACTGTGAGCCACCATGCCCGACCTCAAGTCTTTACCTTTAAGAAACACTCTTGGGCCGGGCATGGTGGCTCACATCTGGAATCCCGGTACTTTGGGAGTTCGAGGAGGGTGGATCACCTGAGGTCAGGAGTTCGAGACCAACCTGGCCAACATGGTGAAACCTCATCTCTACTAAAAATACAAAATTAGCCAGGCGTGGTAGTGCACGCCTGTAATCCCAGCTACATGGGAGGCTGAAGCAGGAGAATCACTTGAACCTGGGAGGTGGAGGTTGCAGTGAGCCAAGATCCTGCCATTGCACTCCATCCTGGACAAAAAGAGCAAAACTTTGTCTTAAAAAAAAAAAGACACTCTTGGCCAGGTGAGGTGGCTCACACCTGTAAACCCCAAGACTTTGGGTGTGAGGCAGGCAGATTGCTTGAGACTGGGAGTTCAAGACCAGCCTGGGCAACATGGCGAAACCCTGTCTCTACAAAAATTAGCCAGGCATGGTGGCCTATGCCTGTGGTCCCAGCTACTTGGGAGGCTGAGGTGGGAAGATCCCTTGAACCTGGGAGGCAGAGGTGACAGTGAGTCAAGATTTCTCTCCACTGCACTCCGGCCTAGGTAAGAGAGTGAGACTCTATCTCAAGAGAAACACTGTTTTTTTTTTTTTTATTTTTATGTATTTTTTTTGTTAGCAATAGGGTCTCACTCAATTGCCCAGGCTGCAGTGCAGTGGCACAATCATAGTTCACTATAGCCTTGACCTGGGATCAAGCAGTCCTGCCTCAGCCTCTAAGTAGCTGGGACCACAGGCGTGCACTACCACACCTAGCTAATTTTTTTTTTTGGAGGCGGAGTTTCACGCTGTCACCCAGCTGAAGTGCAATGGCGCAGTCTCGGCTCACTGCAACCTCTACCTCCAGGGTTCAAACGATTCTCCTGCCTCAGCTTCCCGAGTAGCTGGGATTACATGTACCCACCACCACACCTGGCTAATTTTTTGTATTTTTAATAGAGACGGGGTTTCACTATGTTGGCCAGGCTGGTCTCAAGCTCCTGACCTCGTGATCCACCCATCTCGGCCCCCAAAGTGCTGGGATTACAGGTGTGAAGCACCATGTCTGGCTGCTAATTTTTAAATTTTTTGTAGAGATAGGGTCTTGCTATGTCGTCCAGACTTGTCTTGAATGCCTGGACTCAAGCAATCTTTCTGCCTCACCTTCCCAAAACTGAGCTTACAGGTGTGAGCCACTGCCCCTGGCCACACACTTCTATTGTACACACTAAGGAGAAGTCTGAGTATCATAACATTTAAAAAAAAAAAAAAAGGATTTATATGGGAAAAGAACTTAGTAAAGAAAAACAAAAAAATGGATTTATTTTTGTAAAGACAATTTTTGTTAAAGATGAAAGTAAGAATCTAGATTTAGCAATGGCTGTATTTTAATAAATCTTTTCT